CTGGCAATACTCATTTACTATTTTCTCCTTCTCGCGGTGACATTAAATTATCGCAGATAATTTTTTTATTTAAAGGCCTCTATGATATGAGAATGCGGGGTGTACTTGCAGCTTATGAAGAATTAAAGAACTCTGTTGGGTCTCTGTCTCTGCTGAAAGAGACAAACCCTCGTGCTGCACATACACCCCAAATCCATACACAACAGTATACCCCTAAGCCTGCTGCTGCTACTCATTCTTCTTCTCCTCCTCCTCCTGCTGCTGGCGGTGGTGCTGCTGGTCGCGGTGCTGCTAAAGGGGGTAGTCAGGCAGCAGCAGCAGCAGCAGCAGCGGCAGCACCGGCGGCGGATGCAGCAGATAAAGTTTCCACAGGTGAAGCAGGTCGAGCAGCAGCAAGTCAAGCCGCAACAGGTGCAGCAGCAGGAGCAGGTGCAGCAGCAGGAGCAGGTGCAGCAGCAGGAGCAGGTGCAGCAGGTGCAGCAGCAGCAGAAGAAGAGCGGTTGCTGCTGTCTGAAGGGAAGCATGAGTTGTTTGCTGAGCGTTGTGATGCATCTATAAAGAGACGCATGCTGCTGTGGGCGTCAGAGTATGGCTGCCGATACACCCGAGAGTTAGAGGGGTTAGATGAGGAGACACTGCAGCAAGCAGAGACGCTTGTGCATATTGTTGCATGCGGAGACTATAATCTAACTCCTCAAAGCCCTCTATATCATTTAATTACAAAAGGCTCTATGAACTTTAAAGAGTTATCTAAAGATAAGCTTTCAGGCGAGTGGGGTGCTGTGCTGCTGTTTAACTGTCTCCTTCATCTTTTGCTGCTGTCTCCTTTTGCTGCTGTCTCCTCGCTGTTAGCTGTCTCCTTTCTAGTGATGCCTTCTTCGGGTCTTATTGTACTTTTGCTGTCTCTTTTATGCTGTCTCTTCGTGGGCTTTATATCTTCTTTATTTTGTCTCTACTTCTTTCTCCTGTCTCCTTTTACTGTCTCCTTTTACTGTCTCCTTTTACTGTCTCCTTTTACTGTCTCC